GGCTAATGTGTCTATAACTGGATGTACTCAGTACATATGGCTAATGTGTCTATAACTGGATGTACTCAGTACATATGACTAATGTGTCTATAACTGGATGTACTCAGTACATATGACTAATGTGTCTATAACTGGATGTACTCAGTACATATGGTTAATGTGTCTATAACTTGATGTACTGAGTACATATGACTAATGTGTCTATAACTGGATGTACTCAGTACATATGTCTAATGTGTCTAATTGCATGTACTCCGTACATATGGCTAATGTGTATATAACTGGATGTACTCAGTACGTGTGTCTAATGTGTGTATAATGGAAGCTTTATTTTTCATGAAAAACTTTTATTCCTGTTGTTGACTTTATATTTATTATTAGTTGGTAAATAAACATTATTAATAGTTTATTTCATTACTAAAACTATAATCCAAGGTTGTGTCTGTATGGGTTTTTTTTTTAAGGAAAAAGTTCAAGACTCGTTCAGGAGACACTGTAAAGTTGTCAGAATTGTTAGATGAAGGATTACAACGATCACTCCAGAAGTTAAAGGAAAAGGAGAGGGATAAGGTAAAAAAATAACTTGATTGAGACTCCTTGTATCGTTTAACCCTGGTCAAAATGTTTAAAAAGATTTTATAAATTAGTTAAAGGGAACAAGCATCACATTCCTAAATTTGAAATGAGAAAGGGAAAAGTTAAGAACTTACCCACAGATAAAAACATCAAGTGAAGAAAAAAATGAATGAACCGACAATTATTTTGAAGCATTTATAATGTAACACAGCAAAACACTAAAACAAATAGGTTATAGAAAACGAAACAGTTGTAACGTTTGGAGAAAAGAAAAACCTTGGCATATTAGTTGTCTTGTTAACTATTTTCACATAGAGAAGTAACAATACACTACAAGTTTATACTGTATAGTTTATTAACTGTTCACACTGGTTTCACAGTATTAACTTGTATAGAGATAAGCATTAGTTTTAAGGTATTGTTACTACGAGTTTGTTTACTTGTTTTTGTCTCCAATGTGTGTGTATATACACAAGGTAGGGTTGGAACCCTAAAGTGTAAATGAGCAGTGTTACAACGGTCTTGTTTTAAATATCAGGTTTTAACACCAGAGGAACTAAAGACTGCCCAAGAAGCTGTAGCTTACGGCTGCATCAAGTACAGTGACTTGTCACACAACCGAAACCATGATTATGTATTCTCTTTTGATAGGGTAAGTTTCAAAGATTTTGGACTCTCTGAGTACTAATATTACTTTACCTGTGTATAATGTAGGCTCTGTATTACTTTACCTGTGTATAATGTAGGCTCTGTATTACTTTACCTGTGTATAATGTAGGCTCTGTATTACTTTACCTGTGTATAATGTAGGCTCTGTGTTACTTTACCTGTGTATAATGTAGGCTCTGTGTTACTTTACCTGTGTATAATGTAGGCTCTGTATTACTTTACCTGTGTACAATGTAGGCTCTGTATTACTTTACCTGTGTACAATGTAGGCTCTGTATTACTTTACCTGTGTATAATGTAGGCTCTGTATTACTTTACCTGTGTACAATGTAGGCTCTGTATTACTTTACCTGTATATAATGTAGGCTCTGTATTACTCTAGCTGTGTATAATGTAGGCTCTGTATTACTTTACCTGTATATAATGTAGGCTCTGTATTACTTTACCTGTGTATAAAGTAGCCTCTGTATTACTTTACCTGTGTGTAATGTAGCCTCTGTATTACTTTACCTGTGTATAATGTAGGCTCTGTATTACTTTACGTGTGTATAATGTAGGCTCTGTATTACTTTACCTGTATATAATGTAGGCTCTGTATTACTTTACCTGTGTATAATGTAGGCTCTGTGTTACTTTACCTGTGTATAATGTAGGCTCTGTGTTACTTTACCTGTGTACAATGTAGGCTCTGTATTACTTTACCTGTGTATAATGTAGGCTCTGTATTACTTTACCTGTGTACAATGTAGGCTCTGTATTACTCTAGCTGTGTGTATAATGTAGGCTCTGTATTACTTTACCTGTATATAATGTAGGCTCTGTATTACTTTACCTGTGTATAAAGTAGCCTCTGTATTACTTTACCTGTGTGTAATGTAGCCTCTGTATTACTTTACCTGTGTGTAATGTAGCCTCTGTATTACTTTACCTGTGTATAAAGTAGCCTCTGTATTACTTTACCTGTGTATAATGTAGCCTCTGTATTACTTTACCTGTGTGTAATGTAGCCTCTGTATTACTTTACCTGTGTATAAAGTAGCCTCTGTATTACTTTACCTGTGTATAATGTAGCCTCTGTATTACTTTACCTGTGTATAATGTAGGCTCTGTATTACTTTACCTGTGTGTAATGTAGCCTCTGTATTACTTTACCTGTATATAATTTAGGCTCTGTATTACTCTAGCTGTGTA